AGCTGTAATTATAGATTACAATATTCATATGGCACGACTTGGAAAAGTTGATTTTTATATTTTTGATCCCATATTTTAAAAATAAATGGAACACAGTTCAATAGATTATGTCACAGTGCACGAGGATGAACGGAACCCACGAAGCATAAACTACTAAACTAATGAAACAGAAAGTCAAACGCCGTCAATCATTTTATTTTTCTTTATTAGGAGAAGTTCATTGAAAAAACTTTAAGATAATCATTAAAAAATTCCATAATAAGCGAGCATCTTACAATAACAAATTTTAAAATAAGAAATGATAATAACATTTTTTTTATAATTACATTTTTTTCTTGAAATTTTATAACGATCTTTCCAAATTCCTATGGCCGTTAAGTAAAGTTGTTTGATAACCAAAAAACAAATAAAGTTGTTTATTTTTATAAGAAATTATATTTCGTAATCATTTTAAAAGGCGTAAATATCCAATACTTCACTTCAAGTGGCGAAATAAGTATAACTTTGACTTTGATAAGGCTACATTTGCAATATATTCGCAATATTCTTGATTCAGACTCTTGGGGAAAAAAGTTTGATGTCATGTTATTCTTGTTTAATTAATATAAGAAATATTCTATTCCGTTTTCTTCAATTTATAAAATCAATTATATTTGTATCATTTTTGTGTTGGGAAAAAAGTTTATTTTTTTAATCAACAACACAAAAAATATTGTGATGTACAGAGACAGTATATAAGCATGATTTTATCTTGCAAAATGCAAAAGTAATTTTTGAATGTGCAACCAAACCACCACATTGAGTAATGTGCCGGGAGATTTTCTTTTTTTTAAAAAAAAAACTAAGACTTTAGAAAATTAAAAAAATTCACTTTTGAATCTTTAATGGCTCGTACGACTCATTTCTTTATTTAATTTCGCCATGCAAATTGAAAAGCACTATAAGAATGTGAGAGCCTAGGCTGAAAGGAACTGAATAATAACAATAACAACAATAACTACTTCCTGCATTTAATATAAGATCTTGTTTGGTTTTTATTTTGGTCCTAAATATAAGATCCCAGTTCACTCTGTCTCTCATATTTATTCATTTTTTTCAAAGTAGTCTTTCTAATAATGGTAGCTTTAGCCAATACACTTAACTAGTAAGAATGTTTTAAGAAATACAATACTTATTGATAACAAACAATTAACTTAACTTATTTTATTAATCTGCTCAAATTAGTCAACTAGCTCTTATATTTAGAACCAGAGGTAGTATTCAGTAATTTTCTCATTCATATGCAAAATCTGTTCTTGATAAAGATGTTATCTTGGATAAGGTTCTTCAATTATTTTAAGAACATATTCTTCAATGTTATATTGAACACAACATATCATTGTATTCCATCATTCGAAATTACATCATTATATGCACTCTTGTAGATAAGAATAAATGAAAGAAGACATATGTGAAAGTATTAAAAAATTATCAAATCTTTCAAGATGAAGAAAAGTTCAATGATTCTCAATTATTTACTTGTACTTGTGGCGTTGCCCCATATTTGATTACAATGTCTGGCTATCTTTCTTTTTTTTTTTGGCTATGTTTCTGGCACAAAAATTTTTTTACTTCATGTAGAAAAAAAGGGATTTAGATTTTTGTTTTTGTTCTTGTGTATATTTGGAAAGGCCATTATTGTTAGGCATTATGAACAAACACTGACATTATCTTCTATTGCTGGATTCAGGCTTGCTTCCTATTTGTTGCGAATGTGTAGGAACTAATTAAGACCACGAAAGTCACTTTTTAATATGAAAGCACTTCTAAATGAGTTGTGAGCATTATAAATTAAAATTACGAAACAATTTACATTGAAAAAAATTCCTTAAAAATTATTGTCCCATAGACTAATACAGGTAGTTAGGACAATGGCTTTTTGGCTGAAAGTCGTGGTTGAAAATATTTTTCTCATGGTGATGATATATAATTTTTTTTTAAAAATTGATGTCATGTTATTTTTTTTAAGATAATCATTAATGCAGGCTGAGAATTGTTTTACCCAACTTTAACGGTGGATAAGGTGAAATTGAATGGATTTTAAAAGGAAAAATTGTAATGAAGTCTACAAAAAAAACATAATTATTAAAAAATTTTAATAATAATTAAGCAGTCTAACAAGTTTTAAAATAAGAAATTATAACTTTTAACTTGTCATTGAGACTTTTTGATGGTTATTTTTATTTCTTAAACCCTCATTTTAATTCCTCCATTTTAAAAAGGTTTGACACTACTCACAATTTTCTTTAGCCCGTCCGTGCTTTCTTCATAAATATTTTTGAGATAAACATGGGGTTAGCCTTTAAATAAATTAAGTTTTGCTCCGGATAAAAAAATATTCCCTCCGTCCTTTCATTAGCAACTTTAGACTTCATCATGGTGATAAAAAATTAGTTAAAATTGATTAAAAACAATAAATATGTAAAAATTGAAAGTTTTTCTTCTAATATACCCTTATTCATGAAATAGAAAGGGTGTGAGAGAAAAAAATAGCAAAATTATTACTACATTTGGTCCTAATTATAAGACATCGTTTATAGTTTATAAATGAGATCTTATAATTAGAACTGGAGGTATTATAATAAAGAGAATTATGAAAGAGAGAGAATGTAATAAATATATTGAGTATTAAAATAAGTAATAAATGTGAGCAGAATAGAACATTTGTTATAAAAATTTAAAACAACTTGCAAATATTGCTTATATTTAAGAAAAAAAATAATAGTCATTACTTATAGAGAAAACCATATTGGAGGTACTTATACTTTTTTCAATTTTCAATTTGGTACCTATGTGTTTTTTGTTCTTAACTAAATCTTTATTTTTGTTCTATTAATATCATTAATCCTTATGTAGAGACTAAAAATATCAATAGAACAAAGTTATAAGAGCTAATGTTACTAAAAAGATAAAATTAAATGTTTAATTAAAGGGAAAAAACACATAGGTATCAAATTAAAAATGAAGAGAAAGTATAGGTACCTTCAATATGGTTTTCCCTTACTTATACAAAGAGATGGAATAAGTACAAAATGCCGCTTTGCCAACAAGCATATGGGGCATGCATTTATCATAAAGTATCTTCTTAACTCTGGGGAGTATTATTGATTCATTCAAGTGAACCCATAAAAAGTGAATAATTCATTAATATATTGGACTTGGATTTATTCAAACTATTTAAAAAATAAAAACTGATAAAAAGTGAGTAAAACTAATTAAAATTTATCTTCATAAGACACTTTCACATGTGAAATCAACACTATATTAACTAGTTATGATCATTTTAATAACCACTACAATCAAATCATTCGTGGAATCCATGAAATTTAAACTAACATTTTTTTTTTGGATTGATCCCGTGACTATCTAATTTTTAAACATTTTTTATGGTGTACGTTTCTCTGATTATTTAAATATATAGGAAGATTTCAACTCCCACCCATCTTTCTCTGGCCAAATCGAATTCGAACTCTAATTAAAAAGTAAAATAATAATGACAGATTATTATTTAACAATATCAGACAAGGAATCAAGATGTGATTGAAAACACATGCGTGCGGGATCCATTTTTTAGTTTAATCTCACGAGTCACGACGTGGGGCAGCATGTGAGAAAAGCCGCCAGAAATGGAATTCAGATACAAGCAATTTACATCATAACTATACAATTTATGATTTAAATTATACTTTATATTCCCTCAAGTATTTATTATAAAAACCTCCATTATGTTTCATAATATAACATGTTTGATTTAAAATATTTAGTAATTTTTTTCCCCTGGTTTCCCTAACCTATTTCCTAGCTAAGTATTCAAACACTTCTAGTTAATGATTTTTAGAGAGAAATTTTAATTAATTTAATTAATTTATGTAAAATCCTTATTAAGAGCTTATACTATTTCCGTTCTTTAATATAAGACTTCATTAATTATTTTAGAAAGATTAAAAAATTAATTAAATTAGTTATTTTTTAAAAAAATAAGTATTATATTTCTTGAAATATTCTTGCTAATTATATGTATTAACTAAAGTTACTATTTAATAGAATCTTTAACATATACAACCACTATAATAATTGCTTTGAAAAACAAATAAATATAAAAGACAAGATGAGCTAAAACCTTATATTTAGAATAAAATTTAAAATTAAACTAGTTCTTATATTAAGAATCGGAATTAATAATAAGCATCGGAGGAAGCGAACATATGGTTTACCATATTGAATTAAAGAACCAGCATGCCTAAATGGGTCCCACATATGATATAAATGATTTTTAGCGCACCTATGAAGTCTTCCTTGGCCCACAGAATGGACCAGAATCGAGATCGGCCGGAATTTTCATAAGGGTTAAAACACTATTTTTTTTTTCGGCCATTAAAAAAGTATATGCAAGTGTCTCCGCTCAATGAACTTGTGGATAAATTATCACACGACAGACAAATTTGACGAGATCCGATATGTTCTAAACTTAATACTACCTCTGATCCTAATTATAAGAGCTAGTTGACTAATTTAAAGAAATTAAAAAAAAATTAAATTAGTTATTTACAATAAATAAGTGCCATCTTTTCTAAAATATCCTTACTAATCAAGTGTGTTGGCTAAAACTATAATTATTAGAAGGACTATCTTAAAAAAATTTGAGTAGATATGAAAAACAAAATAGATTTGGGTTTTATATTTAGGACCTATATAAAATAGTCAAACGGGATCTTATCTTATGGACCGGATTGTTTAAAACAAGACTGTCTACTTCCAGCAATCAATTAATGCTACTACACACAAACATTGAAATTATAAAATCTAACTATATATAACGTGACTAAGTGTTTCCCAGATTGTAAGATTTTGCCTATATGAAATAACGAAGCTCGGACAACTCTGAGGTCATGAGGATTTTTACCACAATTTTCTCATAATGTCATAATTTAAGAAAACTGCCGTCAAGTGCTAATTGGAAATTGAACTAAAATGCAAGCAATCAATTTTAAAAGAACGTGCTTGACATACATAGAGTCAGTAATTTAATACTCCGAAGAAAGGAGAATTGCTTAGCTACCATGAACTTGGGCGTTTAAGCTGGAGATTTATTCACCAGACCATCACTCCCCTCTTTGACACCTTTTAGTTAGCATGTTTTGCAAACAAACACATAGCAAATGGTGCAGCAAACACGAGAAAGATCAAATTCAAGAAAATACAAGGAGGATTCAGGGCCAAAAAAAAAGTTCAATCATGACATCAGCATCAGGATTCATTTTGAAGACGAAAGCAACCTCACCACCCAACAAGCAAGAGTTTTAAAAGGGCCATCCGAATGTATAGACCATTTTTTGCCTGCCTGAAGTAAGCAGCCCTGGGATCAGAATCAACATCCACGGTGATCTGCATAGATAAAATCAGAAGCCATTAGTAAAGGACAAGATTAAAAGTGCTTGTTAGCAAATACGGCAATAACAATACATAGAAATACTGTTTTAGGCCCTTAAGAGCGGTATGATAAGAATCAGCTTGCTTACCTCATCAAGCCGGGGAAGAGGGTGCATCACCACCGCATGCTGCTTCATCACTCCGAGAACATCCTTATTTATAATATACTTGCCTCTAGCCTCTTCATATAGGTCAATCCTCTCGCCAAATCTCTCCTTTTGAATGCGAGTTTGATAGACCACATCACACTCAGAAGCCACTTCCATCAAATCAGCACTTTCTTCCCACTTCACTCCCATTGCCGTCAAATAGCTTTTTATGTCGTCCTACAAGAGAATACGCTTTGTTTCAATTTGATCCTCCAAAATTTGAATGTCTTATTTCTGTTCTATTGAGTATAGCATCTTCAATATTAAGACAATCTAAAGAAATGCACGAAATGGTCTAACTTGTAATTGGTGTACCTTTTAAATGGCTCGATGACATAACAGGATACCAAAAGGAGCATGTTATGGCTAACTTAAATGACATTATGCTTTGCCATAACACATTTCAATGACAGAGATGAGCATTTAACAACCAGATCAACTTAAGACTGTCATTTATATCTGTTGAAAAGCTTTTTATGTGAAAGTGAAAATAATATTTCAGGCTAAAAAAAGAAAAGAAAATTAAATGTAAATAATATTGAAGGTGAAATACTCTCTGAAGGATTTAAGAAAAGGCATATCATTTTGGGATCCAAATACGTTAATTTGCTCAAAATATAATTACCAAGAACCATTATGTTAGCAACTTCTCTAAATATTATTTGTGCTGCGTCAAAAATTAAAGTATGATAAACAAGTACCTTCATTTTGACTACATCAGGAGAGACAAAATAAATTTTCACATCATTGTACTTGGCAAGCAAGTATGCAAGTGAGCGAACTGTCCTTCCATTTAGGACCAGAGGAGCATCATATCATGTACGATGAGTTAAGAACAAGAATGACTAAAAAAACGTTAAATGTGGAAGAACCGCCTCCATTTATTTACTATTTTTTTCTTTTTTCAGATTCGGAGATATGATATGATTTTTTTATTAATAAAATAAACATTGAAGCAACATGAAATGCTAATCAAATCGATATAAAAAGGCTATGAAACAAAACAGCCATTTGATATAAAAAATTGGTTTGAAAAATAGAATATTTATGTTGTGGGGCAGACTTAGCAGTCGTAAGCTGTGATTATAAATTACAATATTTATATGGCACAACTTGGAGAAGTTGATTTTTATATTTTTGATCCCATGTTTTAAAAATAAATGGAACACAGTTCAATACATTATGTCACAGTGCATGAGGATGAACGACACCCACGAAACACAAACTATTAATGAAACAGAAAGTCCACTGCTGACTGGTCAAACGCCGTCAATCGTTTTATTTTTCTTTAATAGGAAAAGTTTATTAAAAAAAAATTAATAGGAGCAGAATCAATAAAAAGTTGCATAACGAATACAATAACAATTTTTAAAATAAAAAAAAATAACAACATATTGATACTGCTTGCTTACTTATCGTGAGATTCTTTTTTATAATTACATTTTTTTTAGATTTTATAATGATTTTTCCAAATTCCTATGGTCATTGGGTAAAGTTGTTTGATAACCAAAAAAAAATAAAGTTGTTTATTTTTATAAGAAAATATATTTCGTAATCATTTTAAAAGGCGTAAATATCGAATATTTCATTTGAAGTGGCGAAATAAATATAATTTTGACTTTGATAAGGCTGCATTTGCAATACATTCGCAATATTCTTGATTCAGACTCTTGGGGAAAAGAGTTTGATGTCATGTTATTCTTGTTTAATTAATATAACAAATATTCTATTCCGTTTTCTTCAATTTATAAAATCAATTATATTTGTATCATTTTTGTGTTGGGAAAAAAGTTTATTTTTTTAATCAACAACACAAAAAATATTGTGATGTACAGAGACAGTATATAAGAATGATTTTATCTTGCAAAATGCAAAAGTAATTTTTGGATGTGCAACCAAACCACCACATTGAGTAATGTGCCGGGAGATTTTTTTTTTTTTAAAATTAAGACTTTAGAAAATTAAAAAAATTCACTTTTGAGTCTTTAATGGCTCGTATGACTCATTTCTTTATTTAATTTCGCCATGCACATTGAAAAGCACTATAAGAATGTGAGAGCCTAGGGTGAAAGTAACTGAATAATATTATCTCTAGTTTTTAATATAAGATTTTTTTTACTTTTATTTTAATTCTAAATATAAGATCCCAATCTATTTTGTCTGTTATATTTATGTATTTTTTTCTTAATATAGCTCTTTTAATAATAGTAGTTCTAGCTAATACATTTGATTAGCAAGAATATTTTAGGAAAGACAATACCTATTTATTACAAATAACTAATTTAACTTCTTTCTTTAATATCCTCAAATTAGTTAATTAGCTCTTATAATTAGAACCGAATGTAATAATAATAGTAACAATAAAAAAAACTATTCAGTAATTTTCTCATTCATATGCAAAATCTGTTCTCGATAAAGAGTTATCTTGGATAAGGTTCTTCAATTATTTTAAGAACATATTCTTCAATTTTATATTGAACACAACACATCATTGTATTCCATCATTCGAAAGTACATCCTTATATGGACTCTCGTAGATAAGAATAAATGAAAGAAGACATATGTGAAAGTATTAAAAAATTATCAAATCTTTCGAAATGAAGAGAAGTTCAATGATTCTCAATTATTTACTTGTACTTGTGGCGTTGCCCCATATTTGATTACAATGTCTGGCTATCTTTTTTTTTTGGTTTGGCTATGTTTCTGGCACACAAAAAAAAACTTCATGTAGAAAAAAAGAGATTTAGATTTTTGTTTTTGTTCTTGTGTATATTTGGAAAGGCCATTATTGTTAGGCATTATGAACAAACACTGACATTATCTTCTATTGCTGGATTCAGGCTTGCTTCCTTTTTGTTGCGAATGTGTAGGAACTAATTAAGACAACGAAAGTCACTTTTTAATATAAAAGCACTTCTAAATGAGTTGTGAGCATTATAAATTAAAATTACGAAACAATTTACATTGAAAAAAATTCCTTAAAAATTATTGTCCCATAGGCTAATACAGGTAGTTAGGACAATGGTGTTTTGGCTGAAAGTCGTGGTTGAAAATATTTGTCTCATGGTGATGATATATAATTTTTTTTAAAAAAATTGATGTCATGTTATTTTTTTAGGATAACCATTAATGCGGGCTGAGAATTGTTTTACCCAACTTTAACGGTAGATAAGGTGAAATTGAATGGATTTTAAAAGGAAAAATTGTAATAAAGTCTACAAAAAGAAACATAATTATTAAAAAAAATCTTAATAATAATTAAGCAGTCTGACAAGTTCTAAAATAAGAAATGATAACTTTTAACTTGTCATTGAGACTTTTTGATAATTATTTTTATTTCTTAAAACTTCATTTTAATTCCTCCATTTTAAAAAGGTTTGACACCACTCACAATTTTCTTTAGCCGGTCCGTGCTTTCTTCATAAATATTTTTGAGATAAACATGGGGTTAGCCTTTAAATAAATTAAGTTTTGCTCCGGATAAAAAAATATTCCCTGCGTCCTGTTTTATTAGCAACTTTAGACTTCACCACGGAGGTAAAAAAATTAGTTAAAATTGGTTAAAAACAATAAATATGTAAAAACTTTCTTTTAATATACCCTTATTCATGAAATAGAGAGGGTGTGAGGAAAAAAATAACAAAATTATTACTACATTTGGTCCTAATTATAAGACATCGTTTGTAGTTTATAAATTAAGTCTTGTAATTAGAACTGGAGGTATTATAATAAAGAGAGTTATGAAAGAAAGAGAATGTAATGAAGATAAATGATGGTTTGAAAATTGAGATAATAAATATATTGAGTATTAAAATAAGTAATAAATGTGTGCAAAATAGAACATTTGTTATAAAAATTTAAAAAAACTTGCAAATATTACTTATATTTAAGGAAAAAAATAATAGTCATTACTTGTAAAAAGAGATGGAATAAGTACAAAATGCCGCTTTGCCAACAAGCAGATGGGGCATGCATTTGAATGATTTGATTCATTCAAGTGAACCTATAAAAAGTGAATAATTCATTAATATATTGGACTTGGATTTATTCAAACTACTTAAAAAATAAAAAGTGATAAAAAGTGAGTAAAACTAATTAAAATTTATCTTCATAAGACACTTTCACATATGAAATCAACACTATATTAACTAGTTATGATCATTTTAATAACCACTACAATCAAATCATTCGTGGAATCCATGAAATTTAAACTAACATTTTTTTTTTGGATTGATCCCGTGACTATCTAATTTTTAAACATTTTTTATGGTGTACGTTTCTCTGATTATTTAAATATATAGGAAGATTTCAACTCCCACCCATCTTTCTCTGGCCAAATCGAATTCGAACTCTAATTAAAAAGTAAAATAATAATGACAGATTATTATTTAACAATATCAGACAAGGAATCAAGATGTGATTGAAAACACAAGCGTGCGGGATCCATTTTTTGGTTCAATCTCACGAGTCACGACGTGGGGCAGCATGTGAGAAAAGCCGCCAGAAATGGAATTCAGATACAAGCAATTTACGTCATAGCTATACAATTTATGATTTAAATTATACTCTATATTCCGTCAAGTATTTATTGTAAAAACCTCCATTATGTTTCATAATATAACATGCTTTATTTAAAATATTTAGTAATTTTTTTCACCTAGTTTTCCTAACCTATTTCCTAGCTAATTAGTCAAACACTTCTAGTTAGTGATTTTTAGAGAAAAATTTTAATTAATTTCATTAATTTGTGTAAAATCCTTATCAAGAGCTCATACTACTTCCGATCTTTAATATAATACTTCATTAATAACTGAGGAGATTAAAAAAATTAGTTAAATTAATTATTTATAAAAAAAGATTACATTTATTAAAATATTTTTACTAATTATATGTATTAACTAAAACTACTATTTAATAGAATTTTTAACATATACAACCACTATAACAATTACTTCGAAAAAAATAAATAAACATAAAAAACAAGATGAGCTGAAATCTTATGTTTAAAATAAAATTAAAAATTAAACTAGCTCTTATATTATATTAAGAACCGGAGGTGGTAACGACCATTGGAGGAAGCGAATATATAGTTTACGATATTGAATTAAAGAATCAGCATACCTGAATGGGTCCCACATATGATATCCATCATTTTTAGCGCACCAATGAAGTCTCCTTTGCCCCCCAGAATGGACCAGAATCGAGAGCGGCCAGAATTTTCATAAGGGTTAAAACACTATTTTTTTTTTTGCCATAAAAAATTATATGCAAGTGTCTCCACGCAATGAACTTGTGGGTAAATGATCACATGACAGACAAATTTGACGAGATCCGATATGTTCTAAACTTAATACTAAAATAAGACTAATTGTTTAAACAAGGCTGTCTACTTCCACCAATCAATTAATGCCCCTACACACAATCATTGAGATTATAAAATCTAACTACATCTAACGTGACCAAGTATTTCCCAGATTGTAAGATTTTGGCTATATGAAATAACGAAGCTCGGACAACTCTGAGGTCATGAGGATTTTTACCACAATTTTCTCATAATGTCGTAATTTAAGAAAACTGCCGTCAAGTGCTAATTGGAAATGGAACAAAAATGCAAGCAATCAATTTTAAAAGAACGTGCGTGACATACATAGAGTCAGTGATTTAATACTCCGAAGAAAGGAGAATTGCTTAGCTACCATGAACTTGGGCGTTTAAGCTGGAGATTTATTCACCAGACCATCACTCCCCTCTGACACCTTTTCGTTAGCATGTTTTGCAAACAAACACATTGCA